TTCTGTGTTTTTTTTTCTTCAGATGTGATCATAACCTGCGAATGTCAGGGGTCATGAAAAGCCATGGCTTAAAAGTGTACGATTTATCTTTGGGAATTAACTGACCCCCCTCCTCCCAAACCCACAGCGTTCGACAGCCTCAGACGAGCACCGGTCTGTAGGATACAGGCTGAGATCGTTTGAGTATGAAATTGATGATAAAGCAGCAGACTAGCCTTCTGGATGGGGGGCTGGTGGCGCTAAGGCTAACATGCAGGTAATCCACGCAAGTCAAACCCCCACATACAGGTATGCTGGGCAGGAGATACTCTGGTTTATATAACCTGAAGGGGGGGGGGCAGGGGCTGGAATAGGGCAGCTGGCAGTCTTACAGTGTCAGCACTCCACAGATCAGATCGATAATGCTGCTCTGCTCCAGCCATACAGTAAACCAACATCGCCTTTATGTAATGCCTATTAAGGGGGGGTGAGGGGGGGGGCAGTCAGACAGAACCGCCACAGCTCTGGGGGGATTTCGCTTGAGACTGACAGAAGGCCACTTAAGCACAGGAAAATGCAGCAATCTCTCTTGTACTTTTTTGTTAATGTTAACACACCAGTGATTTCAGCACTGAAGGTCGATATCTTCAAAAATTGTAAGCCGAAGCATATGCCATCACGTCAATCCCTCTGCTGACCTCAGCACTGCCCCCCTGTGGACGCTGAAGATGACGGAGAAGCTGTGGTGACAGGAAACCCAGCAGCCTCCACCTCCCTGCCAGCACGCGCCAAGGACGTGCCACCACTGAACCACATCATTACATAATGCAAGTGTAATCGCTCTTTCAATTCTTATTTTAGGGTGCCTCTTAATCTCTTTGTTTACTTGTAATCGCTCTCCTGCCCGTCTAAGCAATCCATCTCTGACACGCGGTGTAAGAAGCTCTCGCTGGCTGCCCCACGTTGGCCGCCCCACGCTATTCGCCAGGTGATCATTACATAAACGTGCTTAAGGGTGTGTCACCCGCTACTTATCAATGGAAGCCACATCACACTCACTCGGGGTTTATTCAGCTCCTGCCCGGCTGGATCTCTCTGTGAACAATACCGGAGCCACATCCCCCACATTACACTCACTCAGGGTTTATTCAGCTCCTGCCCGGCTGGATCTCTCTGTGAACGATACCGGAGCCACATCCCCCACATCACACTCACTCAGGGTTTATTCAGCTCCTGCCTGGCTGGATCTCTCTGTGAACGATACCAGAGCCACATCCCCCATATCACTCATGTCTGATCCTCTCGACAGGTCTGGCCCATCTCAGTGCTATTTGAGGGTGTTCCTGTGCGCACAGTCGTGCATCTCCAAGTGTTTGGGGATTGGACTCCAAAATGCCGGTCACCTTCAGCTGCAGCTCTGCTGGTGTTTTGCTGTTCACTGGTCTGTCACATGGTTCACAAGTGACTGAGTATAAGCTGATGGGCAGACGGCCTCATATCCTCCCCTGGACCACGCTGCTACAGAAGGACATTCACGATAGATTCCATGAATATTAGTGTGATGTCACTGTTCACACTCAAGTCAAAGCTAAGGAGTTCACTTGGTTAGTAGTTGTATTGTGGTGCTGATGGACTAGGGTTCAAATCTTGAAACAGCCACATGAATTCCTGTGTTATGGGGGGGTCAGGATGCTGTGTCTGTGATCAGATCCCAATTTTACCACTGGGTTCTTGAGCAAGGCCCTTAACTCCCATTTGCTGAAGGGACTGGCTGACCTTGCTCAAAAATGTACATCACTTTGGTTGAAAACTAATTGCTAAAAGCTAAAGGTGGCCCCAATAATCACGTCCTGCAGGTTTCTGTGGTCAAACACAGTGGCCGGTTTCCATCAAGCACATCAATGCAGGCGATGGACGTCATTCCAGGTGTCTAGCGGTGAATCAGATGCTTTCAAGGGCATTTTCCCGTTTGCTCTTACAGAAAAGTCACTCTTTTCCTGATACTGTACTTCTGAGCATCCGCTGGGTTTACAGAGGCCCATTCCTTTGTAAATGACCTCCCTGTGTAATGACAGAGGCATAGGGCAAAGGGGCACGTGCTTGTAGAATGACCTCCTCTTTTTATTCACCTTCTTTATCAATGATGCCTTAATACCTGTTTATCACGCTGTAGCTGAGTTTAGGGTTGTTGTGTTTTTTCCCCTGTTAGTGACTATTTTGATATTTCTTCAGGCAATATCATCAATACCAGGCAGGCAAGTAAACACCTTCCCTTTTCATCATGAAATAATCTTGTGTTGCACCATTAAATAGTATTTCAGTGAACGGGGCTCATTGCAACATGTTCTTGTAGCTTCTGGTGTTAATTATCCAATCAGAACGTCCCGTTATCATTGTTATTTATCCTGCCTCTTTGGAGTAGAGCGTAGCTTATTAAAGCAGCAGCGCTATTTAGGCAGATTTAATGCAGCCAGCCAAGTGGTTCCGTGGGAATGAGCGCAGTCTGCAGCTGGACCCATCCTGCCCCTGTCTGCCATCTGCCCCCCCCAGCTCCCAGTCTAGAGCTCTAATCTTTTTACACCCCGTTGTGTCCCCAGAGCCTGCCGAACAAACATGGAGTTTACTAATGTTGGAATATTGCAAAAGTGGCATAAATCTCTCATTGCCACCCTCCATATGTATGTATGTGTTTAGCTACCTGACAGATGGGGGGGCTGTATTTGTGGACCACAGGCGGGTGGATGGTGGGGGCCGGTCAGGCAGCTGTCTGGCTTTTCCCCGGGACCCGACACTGCATAAGTCCTTAATAAGATAAGTCCTGGAATCAGGGGAAAAAAGCAAATCACTGACTCCAGGAGCATAAGCACTGGCGAGTTGCACAGGAGTCAGTAATTAGTGCGGCTGGGGTGCAGAGAGCAGCCCCCACATGGGTGGGAGGCAGAGTCGTGCACAGTGACCCCTCTGCTCTTTTAATCTCACTGATAATGGTCCCTGGTTAGCATTTACCACCCAGTACCCAGATATATTCCACCTGACATCCACACTCATTTTTATATTTTATTTAACTGATACCTTTACCCATTTTGTGACATCAGGGTCAGATGGTTAAGGGCCTTATTCATTAATTGTGCTAATGATCTCTGACATTCTAATACATACGGAATGATTGTTAAAAATTTAATAAATGCCACATGAAAACACTTGTGACATCTTTTTATTTGTAACAGAAAACAGCACCCACAGGGGTAGCACAGGATTAAATGGATGTGGTATGATGTCATCAATGGGCTCTCTTACAAAGCGGGATTAGAAAATGATGAAACAGTAAGAAATACGTGTGGGGGGGGGGGGGGTGATCACCTGCTGGCTCCAGGCCAGCACAAAGCGGCCAAACAGCACTAAACATAAACAATTAAACAAAACCAACATTAATGGCGGGCGCGCTGCCGCCGATTCATCCCGTCATGTGTCTGTCATGGCCTGTTACCGCTGGGTCCTTTCGATTTCCCTAACAATAACTAACAACAATAATAATGAACAATAACACGACACACTCGCATGACACGTTCAGACAGCCCATAATTCCCTGGCTCACGGTGGCCATTCAGCAGCGACTGTTTGCCAACAATAAACCAGACGACTAAATTTAGTAAAGTAAATTAATCCCCATGAAAACTACATCCATTTAAAATTCTATTATTCCCCCGCCTGCCCCGCCCCCTCGGCACTGCTAAAAAGAGTGATTTCTCACCCAGTCAGAACTAGAGAAATGGCAGTTAATGGGCGACAGGGTGCCTTGGCAAACAGTGCAAGTCCTTTAGAAGGAGAGCAATCACACTGATCAAATTTACAAGCGGAAATTGAGCTGGAATTCAGGGGCATCGCCGCCAGGGGCCAATACAAATTGAAGGCCGGCAAACATAATAATGGCCAGGCCGTGTAATGATCCCTTTAAAGGGGGAGCTGGCGGGAGCTGCTGACTGACGACTGCTCTCGGAGACAGAGACGGGTGTGCGGGATGGGAATGGAGTGTAGGGTTACTGCCGTCCCACCCCAGGCCAGCGCCTCCCTGCTCAATGCCCCTCATTCTCTCTTCAGCTTTTTGGGTTCCTTTGTCATTCTTCGCAGTGTGACTGATTGATCCACCTCTAGATGGACAGTAAAGATTAAGAGGATGACAGATAAGCATGTGCTTACACAGCGCCAGGACTAATCTCCCCGAGTGCCTTTAGGAGCCCCGCAGACAGGAGGACTTGCACACCCGAGGCAGTGGGGGGAAAGAGAGGACGAGCAGACAGCGCGGAACGCCTGGAACAACCAGCAGGGCTCGAACCAGGAGCACCCTCCACCTGGAGCACCGGAGCAGGGAGTCCCTCCACCGGCAGAGAAACTTCTGCATCCATTGGAATCTTATTTGCCGATCGGCAGCTTCCTGGCCAGCCCACATCGGACGACCAGCAGGGTTCTGCGTACTTCCATTTGGAAGAATATCCAAGCTTCACAGAACAGCTCCAGGTGTCTGATGCCAAAAGAGCGTCCACTACTGATCACCTAGAGCTGACAGCCAGGCACTGATCAACAGGCGCTGTTGACCAGCCGCTGATCAATAGGCACTGATCACTGGACACTGATCAACCGCCGCTGATAACTGGACACTGATTACCAGGCACTGATCAACAGGTGCTGATCACCTGGTGCAGATCACCGGGCACAGATCACTGGACACTGACCAGCGGGCACTGAGTCCCAGCCACTGATCACCAGGCACTGATCATCAGGCACTGAGCACTGGCCACTGATCACTAGGCACTGATAACCAGGCGCTGAGTCACAGCCACTGATCACCAGGCAGTAAACACTGGCCACTAATCACCAGGCAATAATCAACAGGCACTGAGCAGTTCAGGTGCTGAAAATTACATACTGGTCAATCACCAGAAAGTAACCAGACCGAATTGTTTCTTGGAATACGTTTACAAACGTTGAACAGGCGTTTGCTTTGCTTTTTGACTTATCATTGGGCCACACCCCACTGTCGGAATCCTCCCAGAATGATGATGGAGGATCACCTCAGCAAGAGCTCCATGCTGCCCTCCTCATCGCCTAGTGAGTCCTCAGGGAGCAGCAGCACAGAGGACGGCCATGGAGGTAAGAACCCCCAGGGGGCGCTATTTCCCATCCAAAATCTTTTATGAATGAAAAGTTATATAGTTAAAACTAGCTAGCCTAACTAGCTCACTGTTTCTAACCAAAAATTCAAGGTTGGCTGAAAACATAGTGTAGAAAACAATCATAAATGTCACTGAAGAAATGATGACAAGATTGTTTTTTTGGTCAAACAGTAAAATAATTAAAGGTATTTACATTTTGAAATGTAAATGTACTGTTTAATGTAATTAAACAGTAAAGGCAATACAAATATGATTATTATAGGTGGTTATAGAGGGAAAAACATACCAACATAATATGATATAATATGACTGAACAACGACAAGATTAGTCATATTTATCTACAACACACCTAAAGTCAATGTACTTTCAAAAGTCAAAATAAAGGGTGTATTATATAGTACGCGGGCAGTAGATTAGCACAGTCTCACACAGAATCATCCGGCTTTTAAAAGCCGTTTATTCCCGACGGGACGCCAAAGGCAGCCAGCAGCTCAGAGTTGCATGGGCCATGGGCTCAGATTGCAGCCTATGGCAGCGCATCCGTGGTTCAGCACAACTTAACCAGCTTAAGAAGCCTCCGGCTCACCGTGCGCCGGCGCCTCTGTGCCCCTGACAGCGAAGAGCCCGGCGCCCGGCAAAGCCCTGAGCCCCGCGTTGCTCTGCAAGGTGTGCGGAGACACCAGCAGCGGGAAGCACTACGGCATCTACGCCTGCAACGGCTGCAGCGGCTTCTTCAAGCGCAGCGTCAGGCGGCGGCTCATCTACAGGTGCCAGGCCGGCACGGGTATGTGCCCTGTGGACAAGGCCCACCGTAACCAGTGCCAGGCCTGCCGCCTGAAGAAGTGCCTGCAGGCGGGCATGAACAAGGATGGTAAGTGCCAGTGTGAGTGCCGGGAGTGTGAGAGTGCCATGCTTACATTCCTGAAGGGCAGGATAACATTATTGAACAGAGGGATGTGTGTAATAATATTAATACCACATGCTGCACATTTGAGGAAGATCAGAACAGGCCAGAATTTAGGTAACAGATCTGTCTAAATGGCAACAAGCCCTCAGAGAGGAGGAAAGTGCTCAGCTGCTCAGCGTAAGCTTCCAAAGCCGCCCACGCAGAGCTCCTGCATATTGCACGATGGAGACGCATGCATGCGACCCGATCCTGCCTCCCACAGCGGTGCAGAATGAGCGGCAGCCGCGCAGCACCGCCCAGGTGCGGCTGGATGCTGTGGATGCAGACGCAGCGGAGAAGGAGCACCTGGCCACCACGCGGGAGCCCACGTCCTCGTCCTCATCCTCGTCCTCGTGCTCAGTCATCACGCGGCCGCACATCAGCTCCTCGCTCAGCTCGGCGACGGTGGCGGTGGTGCAGCACTGTTCCAGCCCGCAGAATAACCACCGCTTCATGGCCAGCCTGATGACGGCGGAGACCTGCGCCAAGCTGGAGCCGGAAGATGGTGAGGGCGGAGCGGGGGGGTCTCGTGTGACATCATCATCAGTGTGGGAAGCATCCAGCCCTCTCCTTGCTTATGGTCTCCAGCATTCCACTCTGGTTTTTTCAAAAGAATTCAAGAATTCAATAAATTGTAATTTATACAAGTGCAATGAAATGCGTGTATGAATATTTCCCTGAAGATTTAAACAGAAAGAAATAGTAATACAGAAACAGAAAGAAATAATAATAACAGAATAGTGAACAATAACATGCAATATGTACAATATGTGCTGTATTTACAATACCATACATGTCGTTCTACATGGTGCTCAGGTTTAAAGTGGCAGTGATGAATAAATCACAGTGGTGACTGAGTTTACAGTGCAAGTCTGTCTAAATGGTCCCCCCTGCAGTGGATGAGAACATCGACGTGACGAGCAATGAGCCAGAGAGGTCCTCCACTGAGTACCACGTGTCGCTGTACCCTCCCAGCAGCCCCGAGAGCGTTTATGAAACCTCAGCCCGCTTGCTTTTTATGTCCGTCAAATGGGCTAAGAATCTGCCGGTGTTCTCCAACCTGCCTTTCAGAGACCAGGTGAGCCCTCAGAGGTCCCTGTACACCAGGGCTCTCCATGTGCAGCTTTAGCACTGAAGAAGTCCACACATGTATGTCTATTCAGGCCATTCTTGCTTAAATGTTGGATAAATGATCAAATTAGTGTACTGAAAAAGCATCTTTCAATTAATTTCGGAAATTATTGTAAAGTTGGTGTACCAGGGAAGATGTTTGGCAAGCACCCAGCACACTCCCTCTAAGATATGGATATGGTACTTGTGATTGGCGCTCCATGTGTCACTGACTCCTCCCATTGTGTCACTGACCCCGCCCCTGTAACTGACTCCTCCCATTGTGTCACTGACCCTGTCCTTTATGTCACTGACCACACCCCTTGTGTCACTGACCCCGCCCCCTGTCACTGACTCCTCCCATTGTGTCACTGACCCCGCCCCCGTCACTGACTCTCCCATTGTGTCACTGACCCTGTCCTTTATGTCACTGACCACACCCCTTGTGTCACTGACTCCTCCCATTGTGTCACTGACCCTGTCCTTTATGTCACTGACCACACCCCTTGTGTCACTGACCCCGCCCCCGTC